TTCCCTCCTTCCTTCCTTCCTTCCTTCCTTCCTTCCCTCCCTCCTTCCTGCCTCCCCCTAACTAACCTGTATTCGCCACATCAGGTCAACGGTCAGCTTATATCGATAAGCCCGCCCGTACTCGCCGCACCGCCGCCGCCGCCTCCCAAGACGTCAGCTCGTCCTCGGCCGGACTTCCGACGCTGCAAATCGCAGACGGTCACGAGGAAGACGGTGAAAACTCAGAGTAGTGCGACGTCTGAGGATTTCACACGAACCTTCGAAGGTCATTGACGAGACGCGGTCGCCGCGGCAACGGGAGCGGCGGCTTCGCGCCGCGATCGCGTCGTAACCGTGGCGACCGGCCGCGATTGGTCGATTGAAACGGCGTTACCGACCGGCTATTGGTTGAGTGTTCGGTCACGGGGTCGGGTGCGGATGCGGCGGCCGACTGGTCGCTCGGTTACGCACGCGATCGCGCAGCGAGTCGCTTCCGTGGTTGTCATGACGACGGACGCGGTCGGTCGTTAACTATTGTCACTGTTGTATGATGTCGTCGTTGCTTTCATCACTGACCGTGACCTTTGACCTGTGACGAGCGTGTGGAGTCCGTGCAGTAGCAGTGACCACAGCATGTGTCTCTGCCCACCACCCCGTACATATACTGTACTACACTGTACTACACTGTACTATACACTGTACTATATACTGTACTATTTTGCTCACCCTCTCAGCTAGGCATGTGTGATTTTCACTGCACTTCTGTGTATCCCTTTCTATTATTATCGCCACGCTGTCATAATTCCCTAATGCGTGCACAAAAAGTATATCCTGATTGCACTGTCTAACTCCCACCCCGTCCCCTGTAATGTTACATTCCTAGATTACATGCTAGTGTGTAACCCCCAACCCTTCCCACGTTACTATACTTATAAATGTCGACATCCATTCCCTGGGACGTGAATGTAGCTTCAGCAATGATTGCTGTGGTAATGTATTTACATGACTAGTACATTAGGTAGCATGTTAGAGTATTAACATAGCTAGTACATTAGGTACCATGTTAGAGTATTAACATAGCTAGTACATTAGGTAGCATGTTAGGGTATTAACATAGCTAGTACATTAGGTACCATGTTAGGGTATTAACATAGATAGTATATTAGGTACCATGTTAGAGTATTAACATAGCTAGTATATTAGGTAGCATGTTAGAGTATTAACATAGCTAGTACATTAGGTACCATGTTAGAGTATTAACACAGCTAGGGTAATTGGTACTATGATAGGATATTAACATAATAGTGTATTAGGTATCATGTTAGGGTATTAACATAGCTAGTGCATTAGGTACCATGTTAGAGTATTAACATAGCTAGTATATTTGGTAGCAT